TTGAAGATATTATTAGATTTTTCAAGGGTAAAATTGTCAATTTGATAAAATATAAACTAATTTGACAAAAATAAATGTTAAAAAATTATTTTTGAATTTTTAAAAATTATTTCTACCTACTAAAGATAAAATTTTATAAAATTGATAAGCCTTTTAGACATTTATTTCTTTTTTTTACCAAATTAATTTTTATTATGTATTTGGATGATGATCATGTAAAATTTATTTTTAAAAATTAATTATGTAATTTTTATTAGTTTTTATCAATTTTACATAATTTTATTTTTGGTGGATAGAAATAATTTAAAAAATTTTTGAAATATTTTTTTGACATTTATTTTTGTCAAATTAATTTATATTTTATCAAATTAACGATTTTGCCCTTGAAAAATCCAATAATATCTTCAATTGTCCTTATTTGGAACAAGATTCAAAATTCAGGGTCAAATGTGTCACAATTGAAAAGTCAGAGACCAAAATGACACAAGCCCCAAACTATAGGGACCGTTAGTGTAATTCACCCTTGTTTTTGTTTTGTTCTTTTCTTTTTTTCAACACCTCTCTAAGTACTTATAACCTAATTAACATTTAGTATTATATTATATTTTATAAATACCACATAAATAAATATGATATATATGTTTTATCAATATATAAAACACTTTTTTTATTAAAAAAATATAAATATATCAATATTCGGATTAATTACATAAAATTAACTATCACATTAAATTAATTAAATATCACATTAAATTCTCATGTAACCACACGATCAATAAAATCAAAAATAAAATAAGATGATAATAATAATAATAATAATAATTTACAAAAAATCAAAATCGCTACATCGGGTCCCAAGTATTTCCATTTTACAACAACACGAGACTATCTAGTGATCCAAAAATGAGAAAGAAAAAATATATATGAAAACAGTATTTGCAAAACACCAAAAAACCAAAGGGTTAATCAGTATAGCTTGTCACCAGTGATCTCTGCACGAGTATTAATTGACCGTTCAAGAAACAATGAAAACCTGAACCATCTCTAACACATATCTCTCTTGTTTATAATCAAAACATACTTCAAGACCGAAAAATCCATACATTCTTGATGGAGGAGAAGAGAGAGAGGAAGAAAAGAGACGAAAAAGAAGGGACGAAGGGGTTTCCGCCGTGGTAATGGAGGATAAGAGAGAGGAAGAGAAGAGTTTTCTGTATATCATATATACATATAGAGAGAGAGAGAGAGGGTATTTTGGTTATTTTGTTTGAACTTGTACACAGTGTTTCAACGTCTAAACACTACAAGAAAAGTGAGTTTATGAGACGGAACTATTTGCGACGGTACACTTGTCGTCTCAAAAAATCAGAATATTCGCGACAGCACCATTTGCCGTCTCAAAAAAGTAGAGTATTTGCGACGGCACAATTTGTCGTCTCAAAAAATGAGAGTATTTGTGACAGTATTTGGTGCCGTCGCAAATACTCTGCTTTTTTGAGACGGCAAATGGTGCCGTCGCAAATAGTGACTTTTGTGTTTTTTTTTTTTAGTGAATATTTTTTAAATTTTAATTTTTTTTTAGATGCACCTTACTTAGATGTATCTAAAAAAAAATTTATGAATCTTTTTTTAAAAATTAATAAATACATAAAAATACAAAAAAAAAATGTATTGAAATATTGTATTTTTGGTATTTAGTGAATTTTTAAAAGATTTTTTTTACAATTTTTTAATTTTTAGGTGTATTTATGTTAGGTGTGTCTAAAAATTAAAAAAAAATACTTAAAATATTAAAAAAATTCAGTAAAAACAATATAACACGGAAAATAATAAAGTATAATTTTCTCAAAAGAGTTTTTGGAAAACTCTAACCTAGCATAGTGATTGTGGTTTTGAGACAGCTTCATATATATACAGTCACAAAATGGTTTGAATAAATTCAACGGTATTTTTCTGTTGCAAAAAAAAATTAAAAAAAACAATGTCGTCTTACTCTTTTGATATAACATTTCTCTTTTCATTCATTTTTTCATCTTCATGTCTCTCTGTCTCTATCTCTCTCTCTTCTCTTTATCTCTTTCACTTATCACTCTTCTTTCTCTGTCTATTGTTTCTCTCTCTCATTTTCTCTCTATGTCTCTCGCCTATCTCTCTTCTCTCTATCTCTCTCGTCTGTTTTCTCTCTCTGTCTCTCTCCATCATCTCTCTTCACTCTATCTCTCTCATTTCTTTTCTCTCTCTCTCCCTCTCTTTCTTATCGTTCTATCTCTCTCTATCTCTTTCGCCTATTTCTCTTATCTCTCTGTCTCTCTCTTTTTCTGTCTCTCTCTCTCGCTCATCTCTTTTTGCTCTATTTCTCTCTCTTTTTGTCTATCTCTCTTTTTAATTATCACTATCTTTTGCTGGTTTGGTTTTTCACTTGCAGAAAGTAGTTCAGATCTCATGTGGGTGGAGGCATACACTTGCTTTTACTAAAAGACAAAATGTATTTTCTTGGAGAAGAGGTACAAATGGACAGCTTGGGCATGGGGAGTCAGTTGACCGGTAATAGCTTTTGGACTGGCCCAATATTCTGACATTATGAGTTTCATATGATACTTTCTATTTGGCTTTGGGCATGGAATGCCTCTGAATTGGTACCCAGGGCTATTGAATAGTTTTTAAGTTGCCCATTTTATTTCCTTTTAATTGTTTTCTAGCATAAGGTTGTACATTGTAGAATGGTCTACTTGTTCATATTTATTTGAGTTTACTTGTTTTTTTTTTTTTTTTTTTTTTTTTGGGGACTGAACACCTAAGAAGTGCAGACACTTCTAAGGTGTGTCCATGTCGGACATTCGTCCAAGCGTGTCCTATTATTTTTTTGAGAACCAGACATGTTTTGGACACTCTGCGAACACATAAGTCTATCATTTAGACACATGAAACACAATATAGTTTGAACAAATTAACTTAAAATACAATGATAAAAGAAAAACAATGTATATTTACGCCTATTAATCCCTCATCCCTTAAACTTTAGGAATTCATGTTATGTTGTAATTTTTAAATTTTTTAAATAAATATTTGTGTATGTGACGTACGATAAATTTTAAAATTATATATTTTGCACGTTTTCCACACGGTCTGTGTCCTGTATTTTTTCAATGTCGTGTTGTGTGTCTATTTCTATACTTTGTAGTTGAACATCACATGCCTTCTCAATTATCGCATACTCTTGTGTAACTCATAAACTTCTAGATTTATTTTTCCTCGAAAATTTGTAGAAACATTCCAAAGATGATAGAATCTCTGAGTGCGGATGGATCTAGTGGACAACAGATAGAATCTTCAAAACTTGACCCATCAACAGGTGTGTGACTTCCCTTTCTTTGTCTATATTTGTTTTTTAAGCAACTCAAGTTAAGAGTTTATTACACTATTTTGGACTACATTGAATTCCATTATTATTGATATTATTATTATTTTTTTTCCGTGAGCAGGGAAAGCTTTGGTTTCTCCAATTGAGAGATATGCAGTTGTTCCTGATGACAACGTAAGTGTTCTTTCCATAGTCTTCATTGTCTTCATTACAGGTGTTTAAATGGTTGGAATGTGTGGAACACCTGCTAATAAATGATGGAAGCTAATAGATGATGGAAGCGGCACTTATTAAAAGAAAAAAAAAGGGGGTGGTGGAAGAGGCAAGATTAAGGCCTAGTTTGGGAAGACTAAATAAGTGCATTTTTTGACTTTTTTTGTATTATGTGTAGAAAAAGTAGAGAGAAGATGTTGATTGATGTGACCCAAAAAAGATAAAAAGATGAAATAAGTGCACTTTTTTCTTTGTAGCCAAACTTGGCCTAAGTGTTCTTACGAGTAAATCAAATTCTAGGGCTTGAAGCTACAAACTAGTTATTCATATTTAAGTTTCAACAAGCACTGCATAGTGCAATACAAATGATATTTACGCATACACGTATTTGAATATGATTGGAGGACATTTGAAATTTGTCAAATATTATAAAGTCTGTCACTAACACAGTTCTTTTCTAGCATATGAACTTTGTACATTGTGAATCCTAGTTCTTATCTTTGCTCTGTCACTATCATGGGGATTTATGTATTAGCTTTTATCTCTTAATGATTTTGATGGTATTTATTGCTTTGTTCTAGATTTTCTTCAAAAAGATTACAATTTGCAACTGTTATCTATTTATTTGTAGGTCAAAAGGATAAATTTTGCCAAGGGGAAGATCTGATTCTAGAAGTAAGGAATTTGTAGCTTGATTTTTGAAATAGGCCCAAAATTGAAATCTTGTTGGAAATTTTTTATTTTTTGTAAGAGCATTTAAATATCCAAGTGTGCTTATTGGTGAATTTCAGATTTTATTTTATTATTTTATTTTTTTTTAGGATTGGGGTGAATTTTATAATTTAAATATGCTTTTATGAACATGTACAGTTTAATTGTTCTTTGTAAAATATTGAATTTGATGGTTTTATCAAGTTTTATTTTCTGTTATGATGTTTTTGTGAATGGAATGTAAATAACCAGCTCAGAGCATATTTTATATTAATTAAATTATGAAATTAAGTAAAAAGGTGGCGTTTTTGTTCAAAACGCCACTATATCTTGTGACGTCATCAATTTGACATAATTATTTAAGCAGATTTAATAGTATACCGGCGTTTATGAAAACGTCACTATAAGTATCAATGATGTTTATAAAACGCCTTATACCTATAGCGACGGCGTTTTGCCGTCGCAAAAAAATAATTTTTTGTTGAAACGTAACACCTTTAGCGACGGTTTTATTGCCGTCGCCAATAGTTCTTTAGCGACGGTTCAGGTGCTGTCTCAAATAAACCTTTAGCGATGGTAATTTTGCCATCGCAAAAGACCTTTTTAGTGACAGCAACACTTGCCGTCTCAAAAAAAACTTAGATTTTCACGTGTTATTTGCGACAGAATTTTTCCGTCGCAAAAAAGACACTTTACCGTCGCAAAAAAAGGCGACGGCGTTATGCCGTTGCTAAAACCCTTTTGCAACCCCCTTTGTTGCGAACCCCCCACTTGCCGTCGCAAAAAGCCATTTACCGTCGCAAAAAACCTTTTGAGACGGCGTTTGGGGTATTTGCGACGGCGTTTTACCGTCGCAAAAAAGCAATTTTTTTTGTAGTGAAATCTTTGACCAAACAAAATTATAATTTGGATTTTTAGACCGAGTGTCCTATGTTTTTAGACTGAGTGTCCCATTTCATATGCCACACTGCTAATACAGTATTTGGGTTTTTTCCTAAAATGGTCGCTGATTTGGTGGGATGTGGGGGTATTTTCTTAACAACATGGGATCTGATGCCGCTCACATCGCGATACACCACAAACACGAAAAACATACAAATTTTGTGAACACGATTGACAGAATTTTCAGACCAAATTGGATATGGATCAATACGAAATACACTAATGCTGTGTTTGGTTGAGGGATTTGAAGAGGGATTTGGAAATGGAAATTGAAATAGTAGGTGAAATGTGAATAAAATATACTTATATTTCACCTAGTTTCACACACCTTTTCCCTCTCTCTTTCCAAATTCCTCCCCAAATCCCTCAACCAAACACAGCGTAAACCCCACAGATTTGGTTTCCAAAAAATGATAATATTATTATTAGCTTGCCACGACTTGCGGTGGACATACGTCGACGCTCATTCCGATTGTGAGTATATATCTTGTTGTAAGTGGGATGTGGACAGGCTTAAGCTACGCCGGAGAAACGGTGATTACTCGAGCCCTCTACCAGCTGTCAATGAAATTATATGGTGTGGATTATGTTTACCATACAAACAATGATAAATACGGAAGGCCTGACCCGAATGAAAATGGATGACAACCTTGCTAACATGGGAACGTTTTGGACCCACAACAAATAGAAGTGGTGATGTGGTAGGCCCAAAGCAGCGTAACAACCCAAAAAAGACTATAGTACCATTTTTCCAAACGTGGCAAGCTTGTAACATTTGCAATCTTCATAAACCAACATTAATATCAAAACCTTACCATTAATAGCATACATTATGGGCAAAAATGTAAACCAACACTAAATAGGACTTACAGGTTTATTATAAAACAATTAGGATTGCAAGGTTCACAAGTCATCCATATGGGATTTATACGTCAATTACCCTAAATAAAATACTATTTATTTTTGACTTTTTTTTTTCTCTCTCCTATGTAGCATATCTATCTTTCTTTTTCTTTTTTTATTCAAATTCTAGATCAATAGCCATACTAAAATTCTTTTTAAAATTTAATATTTAAAAAAAATTTACTTAATCTAATTACCTATAAACAAAACTTAATAGAATTATACGTACTAAAAATATTTTATCAATTAATATTTCTACTTTTTTCACATTTTAAAAAAAATTAAATATTAAAAATATTTATTTTTATGAAATTTATTATATATAATTATGTAAGCTATATTTTTATAACACGATAGAGCTAAAATTATTAAAATATACATATATAATTTATTTAAAATTAGTATGTGTGTTGATTTAAGTAACATTTTTACGGAACAATACAACTAAAATTATTAAAATAAATAATTAGAATCATTATTTAAATTTTAAACTATTGCTTCTTTTTTTCTCCAATTTAACAATTATTTTAAATATTTTATATATTCAAAAATATAAATAATTTAACTAAATTTTATATTAAAAAAATATTTTAAAACAAATATATTTAGCCCGTGCATCGCCGGTGTTAACTACTAATATATATAAAAGTAGTGTTTTTCTCTTTCTTATATGACACATTCTAAATAATTTACTCTTCTTTTTTCTTTTTTTTTTTCCCTAAAAAAACCATATCACATAATCATATGTATATATATATATCTAAGTAGTGTTTTTTTCTTATCTTATGTGGTACATTCTAAAAGCTTACTTTTTCTAAAAAAAAACCACATTAACATGCCTTTTCCATTACATATAAAATTCTATACAAATTCAATTTCAATTATAATAATCAATTTTATTTGGACTCTATTTGAAAAATACTTATTTTTTATATATAAAATTATAATTTAATTGTAATGATATTTGGAAGAAAAAAAAAATCTTGATATACAAATAAATAAATAAATAAGATAGGATGTACTTAATTATGTGCATCTCACTAATCAATTTTTTTTTATATACTTTATATTTTTTGTCTATCTTATTGATGTCTTGATATTAATTTATAATTAATTTTTTATCTAACATGAAATTATTTCTTACAAAACATTTATATTTAATTTAAATTTTATATACCTATATACAATATGTATGAATAATTCAAAAAGAATATTAAAGAAAAAATCAATACTTTACATAAGTAATTTATATATTTTCTTCTTAATTCAATCACAACATATTTATATTAATCTTTTAAATAAATTTTGTGTAGGTCTATTTCTACATAATTTTCATATATTTTACTTATCAACATTGAAGACAATGTTTAGTTTAGGTTTGGGGGTAAGGGATGCAAGTTTTATTTTTTATTTTTTATTTTTTATAAGAAAATGAAAAAAAAAAGAAAAAAAGAAAAAAACTATGCTCATGTTTATCTTTCATTCTTTGCATTTAGTGATTGAGCTTAGTTGTGATATTTTATCTCCTTAGCACGAGAATTGAATAAAATTTATTTTACTAGGCTCTTTGTTAAAGTATTTCATATATTCATATATGGAAATTATTTGCACTGCACTTTGGCCACATGTATTCAATTTTTGTTTGATGAGTAAATATGGTTTGGAAATCTTACAGAATAAAAGTGGAGACTTTTAACTCTTGTGAGTTTTATGCCATTATTTTATTTGGAGGGTTATTATATATTTATTCTTAATTTTTTTTGTTGGAAGCACATTATATTATTGATTAATCTCATTATTCTTTGTTTTGGTTGAATACTGAGAATACATTGATATATTATTACACTTTTATTCATTTGAGATCATGAAAAATGGAAGAGCCATACCAATTCTTAAAAATGATTTTAGGCCATCTTTGATTATTTGAGCCTTTTATATTTCTTCTTTATTTCGCTAAGCACTGGACACCCTTTTGGGTCTTTACACTATAGGAAATGACACATTTGGTAATTAAAATATTAGTCGCCAAAAGTCCCATGTTTGGTCGCCAAAACTCAATAGTGACTAAATGTTTTTGTCACCAAGGTCATCACATATACCCTGTCAGAGATAGTATTGGCGACTAAACTATTTTTGGTCGCCGAAAGTGAACATTTAGGCTACTAAACTTTGGTTGGTCGGCAAAGGTTATCTTTTGTCAACTAAAATATTAGTTGTCGAAAATTCTCACATAAAACTGAATTCAACTATTATAGACTAAAGTTTTAGTCACCAATATAAATTTTGTCGCAGATAATAATATATTTTGTGACTACACATTTTGGTCGGTCATATAATTATTCAATTAGCAACCAAATAGTTTAGTCGCTGTTACTTTTACCGATTACACACTTTAGTTGCCAAAAGCCTATTAATTTTCATTTCATTACTTTTTACGACCAAACATTTTAGTCACCAAAGAATGCCGTGTTTTTTGTGGTTAAAATATTTAGTCAGTAATAGTTTATTCCCTTATTCTGATTTGTTTTGGCTACCAACTATTTAGTCGCAAAAAGCCCTTTGTTTCTTTTTTGCTGCTAAATAATTACATAGCAAAACATTTGCTTGCAATTTTGGCTACCAACATATATAGTCGCCAAACATAACATTTTGGCGACCAAATATTCAATCATCGAAAATAATTAAATCAAAATAAAATTCTCTTTCAGCAACTAAAATATTTAGCCGCTAATACTAATACATTTAATTTGTCGACAACCTATATTTATTCCATTATTAGTACAATCTGTATCCTGTATATAAAAAAAATAATCCATATACCGATAAAATTAGCAACCATTCAACAATATGCACACATTCACTTTGAACCATCAAAAAAATTCATATTTAATATCAAATTAATATTTCCAATAGAAATTCCACTCAAAAATATAATTCCATACATAACAGAGGATTAAACAAAATTAATATCCAAAAGTTAATCTGTACCACCAAAAACTAATTTGTACTATGCCAAAAGGTGATCAACATTTGCTTTGTCTTCATCTCCAACTATATCAATCAAGCCTGGTAGTTTGTCTTCAACCAATTCTGATTTGTTCTCGACAAATT